TTATAATGGGAAGAGGGGTGTTGTGGGGCAATTATAACAGGCCGGGGTAAATGTGGGATAAACTATAATGGAGATGGGGGAGGAATTAAAGGCTCACTTTAATGGGACAAGGTCAGGGGGAGGTACCATGGGGTATTTAGTGGAGTGGGGGGATTTATGATGGGTGCATGTAATTGTAATGGGGGAAATACTCTGGGGTAATTATAATTGGGGGGATTGGGGGGTAATTAGAACTATGAAGTGTGTGTGGGGGGGAGGGAGAAGTAAATTGATGTAATGTGGGGTAGTTATAATTTGTGAGGGGGTGTCCAGTGTATTTACAATGGGGGAGAGGAGGTTGCAGGTATTTATAACTGAGGGAGGGGTATTGCACTGAGACTATATGTGACAGGAGGATGTGTGAGGTAATTATAATGGGGGGGTGTTGTGGGGCAATTCTAAAACTAGAAAAGCTACAATTTCTGGGGAAATTGTGTGAAGTGTTCTTGCCTCCACCAGTAGTCTACAACTGGAGTGGGCGGAGTAACTGGGGGAGTGGCTTGTCACTCTGCTGCCTGCTCACACACCTGGGTTCCTATGGCAACTCACTCTACAGCAAGGGCAGAGAAGAGCGGTTAAAAACAAACTGCTCCAACTTGCTCACTTCACTGGCGGTTGCCATATTCAAATGGTTGTAGTTTAAAAATTATAAATCCTACACTGAAGAGATTTATATTGTGAGAATCACAAGACCCAGACCTACATTTCGATGCATAGTATGTCTCTGAAATATTAAAAATGAAGGCACAGTCGCAGTTTAGAAATGCCCTTCAAATTTGAGGTGCTAGAGTGGAGTTTCAATGAATGTCAATGGGCGGCATGAGTTGCAAACAAATGGTCATATGGTGAAAACTATCAGGACTATGGCTTAGCCGTGGACATTTTTAGTGGCAGCAGGGATAGCTGAACGTCTTGATATAAGATTTGTGTAGGTGGGCTTAAAAAAGAGGGAGTGATGGCAGTTTAGAAATCATGTCCTGATTTTTCAGCTCACACTCTAGCTTTTGTCAGCTCCCACTCTAGTTTTGAACATTCCGCCATTCATTCCTATGGGTCCAATTTCACCACAAAACCGACGATATTTCGTGAACCATTCGGCGAAACGTTCCACAAAGTAATAGCACACCAATCAGGAACAATCCGCACGTTTTTCGGAATATTACTGTCTATGTAGTGTAAAAACTGTGGGAGGAGTTAGGGTGGTAAATTTGGCTATAATAAGAATATATATGTGAGACTAGAAAAGCTACAGTTTCTGGGGAAATTGTGTGAAGTGTTCTTGCTTCCACCAGTAGTCTACAACTGGAGTGGGCGGAGTAACTGGGTGGAGTGGCTTGTCACTCTGCTGCCTGCTCACACACCTGGGTTCCTATGGCAACTCACTCTACAGCAAGGGCAGCGAAGAGCGGTTAAAAACAAACTGCTCCAACTTGCTCACTTCACTGGCGGTTGCCATTTTCAAATGGTTGTAGTTTACAAATTATAAATCCTACACCAAAGAGCTTTATATTGTGAGAATCACAAGACCCAGACCTACATTTTGGTGCATAGTATGTCTCTGAAATATTAAAAATGAAGGCACAGTCGCAGTTTAGATATTGCCCTTCAAATTTGAGGTGGCTAGAGTGGAGTTTCAATGAATGTCAATGGGTGGCATGAGTTGCAAACAAATGGTCATGTTGTGAAAACGATCAGAACTATGGCTTAGCCGTGGACATTTTTAGTGGCAGCAGGGATAGCTGAACATTTGATCTAAGATTTTGTGTAGGTGGGCTTGAAAATGAGGGAGTGATGGCAGTTTAGAAATCATGTCCTGATTTTTCAGCTCGCACTCTAGCTTTTGTCAGCTCCCACTCTAGTTTTGAACATTCCGCCATTCATTCCTATGGGACCAATTTCACCACAAAAACGCCGATATTTCGTGAACCATTCGGCGAAACGTTCCACAAAGTAATAACTAGAGATGAGCGAAGAAATGAAAAATTCGATTCGACTGATTCGGCGAATTCGTGGACAATATTCGATTCGAGTCGAATAAATTCGCTGTGAATTTAACTTAAAAAAGGGTGTGTTTCTAGGCTTCAGAGAGACTTAATATTTAGTGCAGAACACTGTACCTTTAATTAAAATGCCCTTGGAGTCTGCTGGGGAAGAGAAATAATACTGTCAGTCAGTATGGCATGCAGATGAGTGCCGTCGATCTTAGAATCACTGCACACTTCACTCCTTTGGCCAGTCACGGCCAAAACCAGTGTTTGGAGCCACAGTGTGGCGGTGGAGCCAGCAGCAATGGGAGGCCATACAGCAACCTATGACAAAATGGAAACCAGCAGGAGCGTGAGGAGACCTGAAAGTGGCACATGGCAGAGTGGGGAGCAATGGGAAGGCGGTACAGGGACCCAGGTCACACTGTGGGCCCAGCAGCAGCGTGACCAGGCGGTACGGGGGCCCATGGCCGATATGGGGCTTGGTGGCACTTTTTGATTTAATATTCCTATTTATTTTGTTATATTATTGTTATTATATTATCTATTATGGGAAGGCCTGTAATCTGCCAGCAACCTATGACAAAATGGACAACCGCAGGAGGTGTGAGGAGATTTCAAAGTGGCACATGGCAGAGTGGAAGCAATGGGAGGACGTACAGGGACCCAGGTCACACTGTGGGCTCAGCAGCAGCGTGACCAGGAGGTACGGGGGCCCATGGCCGATATGGGGCCTGGCGGCACCTATGGGAGGCCGCTAATCTGCCAGCAACCTATGACAAAATGGGACAACCGCAGGAGTGTGAAGAGATTTCAAAGTGGCACATGGCAGAGTGGAAGCAATGGGAGGCCGTACAGGGACCCAGGTCACACTGTGGGCCCAGCAAGCAGCGTGACCAGGCGGTCCGGGGGCCCATGGCCGATATGGGGCCTGGCGGCACCTATGGGAGGCCGCTAATCTGCCAGCAACCTATGACAAAATGGAAAACCGCAGGAGTGTAAGGAGACCTCAAAGTGGCACATGGCAGAGTGTAAGCAATGGAGGCCGTACAGGGACCCAGGTCACACTGTGGGCTCAGCAGCAGCGTGACCAGGAGGTACGGGGGCCCATGGCCGATATGGGGCCTGGCGGCATCAATAGAAGGCCTGTAATCTGCCAGCAACCTATGACAAAATGGACAACCGCAGGAGTGTGAGGAGATTTTCAAAGTGGCACATGGCAAAGTGGAAGCAATGGGAGCCGTACAGGGACCCAGGTCACACTGTGGGCCCAGCAGCAGCGTGATCAGGAGGTACGGGGGCCCATGGCCGATATGGGGCTGGTGGCACCTATGGAAGGCCTGTAATCTGCCAGCAACCTATGACAAAATGGACAACCGCAGGAGTGTGAGGAGATTTCAAAGTGGCACATGGCAGAGTGGAAGCAATGGGAGGACGTACAGGGACCCAGGTCACACTGTGGGGCCCTCAGCAGCAGCGTGACCAGGAGGTACGGGGGCCCATGGCCGATATGGGGCCTGGCGGCACCTATGGGAGGCCGCTAATCTGCCAAGCACAACCTATGACAAAATGGAACCCTGGGCTGGGGCAGGCAGAACCGCCGTATCTTTATCACGTTTTTTTCACAGGCCACCGAATGGCGACGCTGCATATGCTGACGCAACGCTGTAGTCCCCACATGGGCCCCCTGGCCACGCTTGACTTTCTGGCCACATAGTCGACATAGACGCTACGTTTACTTCCTCGGGCGGCTTGACGAAAACTTGCCACACAAACCGCCGAGTAGGAAACTTTGCACCCGCTACTCCTCACTGGCTGACTGCTACTTCCTCCGTGCACACCGGCACCACTACTGGCTGTGGTGGTAGGCTGCAGTGGAGCTGCTGCTCTACTCCGTGGCCGTTTGCCTCCACTGACAAAGCTGCGACCCCTGCTGCCTCCTGGCAGCAGCAATGGGAAGGCCGTACAGGGACCCAGGTCACACTGTGGCTCAGCAGCAGCGTGACCAGCGGTACGGGGGCCCATGGCCGATTTGACCTCATTCATCCCATAGTCCTGCCGACTCACGAATAGCGTGGCCTCCTCAAAGGGCCTGAGCAAGCGCAGGTGTCACGCATGAGATGATGACAATGGCTGACATCTAAGTTACACAGGGAGTACCTTTATCCGCTTTTAACATCAGGAAATCTGTGATGGTCTTTAGCTGTTCGTAAAGGCGGTCTAAACATATGTAGGGTTGAATACACCTTGTTGCAATGTCACAGCATGAGGAGGCGGTATATAGGGGCCCATGGCAGATTAGGGGCCTGGCAGCAGCTATGTGAGGCCCGTAATCTGCCTGCACCCTATGTCAAAAAATTAAACACACCAGCAGTGTGAAGAGACCTGAAAGTGGCACATGGCAGCAGAGTGTGGCGATGGAGACAGCAGCAATGGGAGGCCGTACAGGGACCCATGAGAGACTCTAGACTTGGCAGCAGCATGAGGAGCGGTATATAGGGGCCCATGGCAGATTAGGGGCCTGGCAGCAGCTATGTGAGGCCCGTTATCTTGCAGCACCCTATTTTTCAAAAAATTAAACACACCAGCAGTGTGAAGAGACCTGAAAGTGGCACATGGCAGCAGAGTGTGGCGATGGAGACAGCAGCAAATGGGAGGCCGTACAGGGACCCATGAGAGACTCTAGACTTGGCAGCAGCATGAGGAGGCGGTATATAGGGGCCCATGGCAGATTAGGGGCCTGGCAGCAGCTATGTGAGGCCCGTAATCTGCCTGCACCCTATGTCCAAAAAATTAAACACACCAGCAGTGTGAAGAGACCTGAAAGTGGCACATGGCAGCAGAGTGTGGCGATGGAGACAGCAGCAATGGGAGGCCGTACAGGGACCCATGAGAGACTCTAGACTTGGCAGCAGCATGAGGAGGCGGTATATATAGGGGCCCATGGCAGATTAGGGGCCTGGCAGCAGCTATGTGAGGCCCGTTATCTTGCAGCACCCTATTTTCAAAAAAATTAAACACACCAGCAGTGTGAAGAGACCTGAAAGTGGCACATGGCAGCAGAGTGTGGCGATGGAGACAGCAGCAATGGGAGGCCGTACAGGGACCCATGAGAGACTCTAGACTTGGCAGCAGCATGAGGAGGCGGTATATAGGGGCCCATGGCAGATTAGGGGCCTGGCAGCAGCTATGTGAGGCCCGTAATCTGCCTGCACCCTATGTCAAAAAATTAAACACACCAGCAGTGTGAAGAGACCTGAAAGTGGCACATGGCAGCAGAGTGTGGCGATGGAGACAGCAGCAATGGGAGGCCGTACAGGACCCATGAGAGACTCTAGACTTGGCAGCAGCATGAGGAGGCGGTATATAGGGGCCCATGGCAGATTAGGGGCCTGGCAGCAGCTATGTGAGGCCCGTTATATTGCAGCACCCTATTTTCAAAAAATTATAAACACACCAGCAGTGTGAAGAGACCTGAAAGTGGCACATGGCAGCAGAGTGTGGCGATGGAGACAGCAGCAATGGAGGCCGTACAGGGACCCATGAGAGACTCTAGACTTGGCAGCAGCATGAGGAGGCGGTATATAGGGGCCCATGGCAGATTAGGGGCCTGGCAGCAGCTATGTGAGGCCCGTAATCTGCTGCACCCTATGTCAAAAAATTAAACACACCAGCAGTGTGAAGAGACCTGAAAGTGGCACATGGCAGCAGATTGTGTGGCGATGGAGACAGCAGCAATGGGAGGCCGTACAGGGACCCATGAGAGACTCTAGACTTGGCAGCAGCATGAGGAGGCGGTATATAGGGGGCCCATGGCAGATTAGGGGCCTGGCAGCAGCTATGTGAGGCCCGTTATCTTGCAGCACCCTATTTTCAAAAAATTAAACACACCAGCAGTGTGAAGAGACCTGAAAGTGGCACATGGCAGCAGAGTGTGGCGATGGAGACAGCAGCAATGGAGGGCCGTACAGGGACCCATGAGAGACTCTAGACTTGGCACACAGCATGAGGAGGCGGTATATAGGGGCCCATGGCAGATTAGGGGCCTGGCAGCAGCTATGTGAGGCCCGTTATCTTGCAGCACCCTATTTTCAAAAAAATTAACACACCAGCAGTGTGAAGAGACCTGAAAGTGGCACATGGCAGCAGAGTGTGGCGATGGAGACAGCAGCAATGGGAGGCCGTACAGGGACCCATGAGAGACTCTAGACTTGGCAGCAGCATGAGGAGGCGGTATATAGGGGCCCATGGCAGATTAGGGGCCTGGCAGCAGCTATGTGAGGCCCGTTAACTTGCAGCACCCTATTTTCAAAAAATTAAAACACACCAGCAGTGTGAAGAGACCTGAAAGTGGCACATGGCAGCAGAGTGTGGCGATGGAGACAGCAGCAATGGGAGGCCGTACAGGGACCCATGAGAGACTCTAGACTTGGCAGCAGCATGAGGAGGCGGTATATAGGGGCCCATGGCAGATTAGGGGCCTGGCAGCAGCTATGTGAGGCCCGTAAATCTGCCTGCACCCTATGTCAAAAAATTAAACACACCAGCAGTGTGAAGAGACCTGAAAGTGGCACATGGCAGCAGAGTGTGGCGATGGAGACAGCAGCAATGGGAGGCCGTACAGGGACCCATGAGAGACTCTGGACCTGGCAGCAGCAGGAGGAGGTGGTATATAGGGGCCTATGGCAGATTAGGGGCCTTGGCAGCAGCTATAGGAGGCCCGTAATCTGCCAGCACCCTATGTCAAAAAATTCAACACACCAGCAGTGTGTGAGGAGACCTGAAAGTGCCACATGTTTGAGGCATGATTCATGGCGGATTAGTCAGTTGTGTCAGGAACTGGTGGTTTGAAATCCAGACTAATCCACGCCTGATTCATTTTCACAAACGTGAGTCTCTCCACACTTTGGGTGGACAGTCGTGTCCTCCGCGGAGTTACAAAACCTCCTGCCGCACTAAACACGCGCTCCGATGCCACGCTACTGGCCGGGCATGACAGCCTTTCAAGGGCAAATTCAGCTAGTTGGGGCCAAAGGTCAAGTTTCGTTGCCCAGTAGTCAAGGGGATTGTCTACCTCGGTTGGCAGGGTGCTGTCCAAGTAGGCCCAAGCCTGTTTGTTTGAGCTCCTGCTCCAGGTCCACCTGATGCTGCTGCTGCTGCTGCGGCTGGTTAGTAGTTTCCTCACTGCGCTGGTGAAGAAAGCTACTCATCATCGACTGCAGACTGAGGCAGCCGCTGCTGGTGGAGCTGCCACTGCTCCTACCACCCCACCCCTCCCCTGCTGCCATACCCAGCGGAACGCGAGCGCACAGGGCCCACAGTGTCTGAGGATGGACGTTGGCGCACAAAGGCAGAGACCAACTGACTACATAGGTGGTTTTTATAGTACGTAATTTTTGCCTCCCTCGTCAGCAGGTGTGAAAAAGGCCACCATTTTGGACCGGTAGCGAGGGTCCAACAAGGTGGACAGCCAAAAGTCATCCCTCTGTCTGATGGTTATTAATTCGGCCTGTCGCTACGCAAGCAACCGAGCATGCTATGGGCCATTTGTGCCAAGGAATGCGAGGGACTCCCTGCCTCCATCTCCACAGCATACTGCCACGGTGCGTCTGGGTCCTCTGTCTCTTCCTCCTCCTCCTCTCCAGATGCTCCTGCTCCTCCACTCCTGTCCGCTGAGTGGAAAAAAACCACCCATTTCACTCAATAATTCCTGAGCACAAATGTCCTCCTCTACCTCCTCCTCTTCTTCCTGTCCTGCCCCCACAGGGGTCATGTGGCGTTGAGATCTGTGCGCCACGTCTACCGCACCCTGACCAGCCATTGTTAACAGCATTTGTTCCAGGACGTGCAACAGAGGAATGACGTCGTTCATAGCCCATAGTCCTGCCGACTCACGAATAGCGTGGCCTCCTCAAAGGGCCTGAGCAAGCGGCAGGTGTCACGCATGAGCTGCCAATGGCTGACATCTAAGTTACACAGGGGAGTACCTTTATCCGCTTGTAACATCAGGAAATCGGTGATGGCCTTTCGCTGCTCGTAAAGAGCGGTCTAACATGTGTAGGGTTGAATTCCACCTTGTTGCAACGTCGCAGATCAGGCGATGCTGTGGAATTCCGTTCTGCCGCTGCAGCTCAATGAGGGTTGTTCTTTGCGGTGTAGGAAATGCATGGCTGAAATGCATGCACAGTTTACGTGACATTTTAAGGATGTCTTGCAGTGGGATGGTGGATTTTAGGAACCGCTTGACAACCAGATTGAACACGTGAGCCATGCATGGCGCATGGCACAACCTTCCTTGACGCAGAGCAGACACCATGTTCTTTCCATTGTCGGTCAACATGGTTCCGATTTTTTTCAGTTTGCGCGGAGACAGCCATCTGTCGATTTCTCTGTTCATTACACTCAGAAGTTCCTCCCCTGTGTGACTACGTTCGCCGAGGCATACCAGTGCAGCACAGCGTGACACCGTTGCGCCCTGCACATGTGATTATGCCGGTCGGGTAATGGGACTTGGCACGGGGTGGCGGCTGAGGACACACGGCGGAAAAAGAGGTGGTAGAGGCGGACATGCTTGCTGGACCAAGGACGTGCAAACGTGGAGGCAAAAATGCGTCGTGACCTGTCCCAAGTTGCTGGTGCGGCTGTGCCGGCACCACGTTCACACCAGTGGGCCGTAAATGACATGTACTGTCCCTGACCGTAGTTACAGCTCCACACGTCGGCGCTGCCGTGCACTTTGGTCAGAGACCGACATGCTCAAAGACTGGCCACCATCTCTTCTACATGTGAATGCAGGGCTGGCACTGCCTTTTGGGCAAAGAAATGACGGCTTGGCACTCTCCACCGCGGCGCGGCACAAGCCATCATTTCTCGGAAAGGTGCTGAGTCCACCAGTTGGAAAGGGAGGGACTGCAGCACCAGCAACTTGGACAGGAGGACGTTCAGCTTTTGCACCGTCGGGTGCGTGCTCGCAAACTGTTGTCTCTTGGATACGGATTCAAGAAAGACTGTTGACGGAATCCGAGAAGAGGAGTAGCAGGAGAAGGAGCATCTGAACGAGCGGAAGATGCCAATGAGCGACAACTCCCCTCAGCAGAGGTGTTGGAGCCTTGACTGGCTGATAGAGGGCGATTGACGACGTCGGGTGACGGAGCAAGTAACGGAGCGGGTGATGGAGCGGGGGCTGGGGCAGGCAGAACCGCCGTATCTTTATCACGGTTTTCCCAGGCCACCAAATGGTGACGCTGCATATGCTGACGCAACGCTGTAGTCCCAACATGGGCCCCCTGGCCACGCTTGCATTTCTGGCCACATAGTCGACATACGGCTACGTTTACTTCCTCGGGCGGCTTGACGAAAAAATTGCCACACCACCGAGTAGGAAACTTTGCCCCCGCTACTCTTCACTGGCTGACTGCTACTTCCTCCATGCGCACCGGCACCACTACTGGCCGTGGTGGTAGGCTGCAGTGGAGCTGGTGCTCT